TACGAATACATTGATAGAGAGAGAGAGAGCATTAATGAAAATCGAATATGCAAAATCTGCCGGAATCCTATTATTGATCCAATTGTGACTGAGTGTGGCCATACTTATTGTCGTCAATGTATTGAAAAATACATGAAAAATGGTTCAAATTGTCTATCAAAGCCATATAATCAATTATTGAACCTCGACCATTGGAATTTCAATTCTCCTCCACATACTATAATTTCATTACTAGATAAACTTAAAGTTCGATGCCAATTTTGTGGCGAAACAAATCTGCACAGACGAAACTTTGATGACCATATCAAGGGAAATTGCTCTAAAAACCCAATAGATTGCCCAGGGAATGACGTTGGATGCTCATTCCCTCTACTGAAAGGAGGGTATTACGAAAAACGAGTTAAATGCGTTCACTAGTCGACGCACTAGTCGACGATCTTGTCTTCGTTCTGTCCAGATTCTTGTTTTTCTTGAATATCAGACAAGATTCTTTTGCCGTTCCTTCTGTACAAGATTCTTGCCTGAAAAAACAGATCTTGTCTTTCTGGCAAGATTCGTGTAGACACAATCTTGGCTGGCGAGGCAAGAAATGTCTCGCCAGGCAAGATTCTTGTGCTCTTGTATTCTTGTCTGATTCTTGTGTTCTTGGAATTCTTGCATGATTCTTGTTTTCTTGGAATTCTTACAAGATTCTTGTTTCCTGCCATTCTGGCAAGATTCTTGTAAAATAAATGAATCCGATTTATGCAACAATACAGTTGCCTCTTTCGTTACTGTTATATTCTTATTTCGAATTTCAAAAACGATAGACAAAAAAGTAAAAGACTATTGCAACAAAATGTACAATATGTTCATATCACAAACACAAAAAGAAAGTTGAACAAAAAGTAAAAACAAACTTTTTCGATTTAAAAAAAGTCTATTAAAATTTGTCGTTGTGGTCGTCGTCGTCGTCGTCATCATCATCATCCTCATGAAAAATGGATGGTGTTTCAATAGTGGTCGAAGTTCTTTGTTTCGATGCAGCCACTGACGAATAACTTGATGAACTTTTTTTGTTGATATCATGCTTCATTTGTTGTAAAGAATTTTTGATCGAGTGACTATCGGCAAAGACAGCGACGGCATGTAATCCATGAATATGAGCAATGAAACCTGAGAGAAGAGATTTTACATAATAAAATAACATTTCAATATTTTAATTTATCATACCCAATAAGAGATCAAATTCTCCTGGTGCTAAATTGTTAAATGATGCACTTTCACCGTATGCAGCACGAATTAAACTTCTAGCTGTTGCATTTAAAGAAGAACCACGTGAAACATGACTTATATTGATTCCATTTAATTCCTAAAAAGAAAAACAAAGATGATCAGAGTATTAAAATTATTTTTACTAATTTAAAAAATTGCTATTAGTTAAGTTTTTATATGAAATGGACATGGCGGAGCATAATAAAAAGTAATTAAAAAATATTCCTTTGTCTCCATTTTCCACTTACAACTACTTGATCATCATCATTGTTGTTCTGTCGTGCCTGTGATACCTTGGCTTGCTAAAACAATAAGAAAGTCAGTGAAAGATGTATCAAATTCTGATCTCAATATACCATATGTACAATGTGAGATAGTTGTTGAGTTGTTTTTTGTAATTCACGTGGAAAATTTATTAATTCGTTCATTAAGCGTGTTTGTTCCGTTGTTTGTTTCAACATGTCTTTCATTAATTGGTTTGTTTCTTCACATAGCTTTATCAATGGCTTCATTGTTTGATTGAATCCTAAAACTTAAATCAGATTAATGATGGACCAGGAAGAATCTTTATTATATAGATAACCATTTTGTGTTGTTTCGGAAATGGATCTTGTATTTTCAGCCACTACGTTTGAACTAACTGTAGTTTCACCTGGAACAAAATTACCTAAAATTTTAAATTAACAATAAAATTATTGATAAATACAGTCTCAAGTATGAACTTACGCATAAGTGATGCAGCTGTGCTTTGAATAGCTGGATTAAATCTTTTACGAGGAAGTGGTGCTGTTGACGGAGCAACTAACACACCAGGAGCAGTTCGTCGTTTTTTGGCCGGTAACTCTATAAATGAATTCAAATACTTTTAAATATAACATGTTCTTACACTCACGTGCTGATGTAACGGGTGCTACATTACTTGTTGTGGCAGAATTGAATATCGCAGAAGATGATTGAGTTGCAGATCGATGATTATCAAATCTAGTATCGCATACACGCAATGATAGTGAATCTTGAGAAAAAGTGAAAAATGTGTTTATTTCTGACTTTAGAAAGAAAAAAACTGTTCATCTTATATTTTCTAACAGTTAAGTGAAAAAAGCTAACTTACGACGATTGATATCGTTTCTTGATTGAGGTATTGATACAATAGATACTGGTTGCATTTCATGATATGATTGAGCAGGATATTCTTGTGATAATCGTTGTTCTATATTTTCATTGTTATCGTTGATCAATGGGGAATCGTACATGATAATTAAAATCTGAAATAGAATAAACAAACACAAATAATAGAAAAAAAGGGCATGGTAATATTATATTTCACATGAAAAAAAACATTACATTAGTTTTGGTCTGAATCGTAAAAAATCTCCGACAGCAATGTTTGATCTGATAAATGTATCGCAATACACTTGAAGAGAACTGAAGAGAAAGGAATAGAAACACACTTAGTATTAGAAAGATCACATTTAACATAATATTTATCGAGAAATTTAGTGACAATTGAAGAAAAAGACCAGTTATTTAAATAATTATTTGAAGAAAAATAACTGGCAGAAGTAGAATACATATTAACAAAGGCATAAGAAATATCAAATAATTTATAAAAAAATATCACTTCACCGAAACATTTATTGTTTTTATTATCGAAAAATGATACTACGAAACTTTGTGTATTACCACGTCTTCTGTATGACAGAGAATGAAATTCAGACAGCCCTTTAGATGCACGACAAAAATAACTTATGTGTGGATTGTCTGTCGAACCAATAATGTTTCCAACTAAATGAAGAAATTCTGATTGATACTTTGTAATATATTCTCTATCTAAATAATCATCAAGTATTAATTTCTCATCAAGAAAGATATTATTGATCGACCAAATCTCTTTTTTGGATGTGCAACGGGATTTATCAAATGATCGACAAATCTGACGAGCAATCATCCGATTACCTGACCTCAACGTGCGAATAAAACGAAAAAAACTTTCGTTACCAAAGCAATTATGGAAACAAAGTGCGCCATGACCAACAACCTTTTCTACTAAATGTAAATGCGCATGTGTTGAATATAAATAAAAAGTGGGGCCATAAATAGATAACGCATGTTCACAATACGTTTTTATAAGTGATTCAACTTCCATGACTTCCTGTAAGTCATGGTAGAAATATAAAGTGCGAAGAAATACAAAATATAAGGAGAAATGAGAAGAAATATGTTCAGGAAGAAACGAAAAGACAAATGGAAACATTAAGTAAAGAAAAAATGCACGATAGTCATGCGCCTTCCAGTATGTTCGATCAGAGAAAGTACGCAATTCAACATTAAAATTGTGTGGCCATTTAGTTTTACTTAAAAATTCATTACCTGATAACCAAGCTTCTTTAACAATCATCTTCTCCCATTTTGATAAAAGTAAAGAACAATGCCCAATGAAACATAGATGCATAGAATCAAGATCTATTTGGGTTGGAATATCTAATATTTTTGTCAACGGACTAATACCTTTCACACCACAATAATTTCCACCCGATGATTGTTGAGAAAGTAACTTAGCACACATATCTAAATGTGCTGATGTACGAAGGTTTATCGCAGATTGAATGTATGGATATGCAACAAATCGACCTTCATCACACCACACACCTTGTTGATCACACTCCAAACACGCATAATAGCCATTGTGATGAACATGTTTGGTTGCTAAAGCACGAGCTGGTAAATCTGCTTTAAACAATAACACATCGATTGAAAATTTCATATCATCCACAAATAAAACTTGTTTAATTGTGTCACAAATATCCATTAACAATAAATCTACATCTGGCTTGATTGGCGCATTCCTAAAATTGAAAAAAATTACTATCAGTGTTTCTATGAGCACATGCGTGAGAGACAGTGACAAAATTTATTAAAAGTGTTAAAAGAAATTGAATTCTTATTCTCAGCAATTCAATTTTTTTTTCAATCAACATTCGGAATTATTGTCTTTCAAAAGATGATATGATTCAAATGTTCCAAACCTAAATCCAATAAAAAAAACCTTCACGTACCATATAGATAATAATAATAGATTTAAATGATTTTCTCTTAGTGGTGGTGGAATTTCAACTATAGAGGCTGTTACAAACCACGTGTGCTTTCTACTCCAATGAACAATAGGAGTACTATCTATATGTAACATGAGCGTAATAGGATAAGTGTCGTTGGATGCTGCTTGAAGTTCTTTTCGTTTCTCCTTGTATATTAATTGTGTCATAACGTCACACTGTAATAATTTATCAACAAGTTGTGGATAAGTTAATATTAACTGCTTGTTTCTACGAATTACATCAATTAATTGTGTGTTTGATCGATCAGTAGAGAAATGTTCAATAACATCACCAACTAGTCGTTGAGAATAATTTCGTTCACAAATAATAGAGCAATAATTATTATTAATAATTTCTAAACAGCTGGTACATCGTAATACTTCATTAAATGATGATTTTTTTTGAAAAAGGGAAACAACTTTTTTATATGATTTTAATAATTTATTTTTAAATGGTAAAGCGTTTCTAATCAACTTCAATAGCTTGTTCATGTTGGAATCAGTCAATTGAACTAAATTTCCAAAGTCGACTATTTGTTTATGATAACATTTAATAGAAACGGGCGCACCATCATATAATGGTTGGTCTAATTCTTCTTCAATAAATTTTTCTAAAACAAGAAAACGTTTTTTTATAATTTTTACCTCGAGATAGGATTTGAATAATAGAAAAATGCTTTATTTTTACCATTTGATTCAATACCAATTTGATTCAGACTAAAATCATAGTCATCTTCAAGTGTATCAGCTTCTAAATATTCATCACCATATGGATTATTTTCTAAATATTCATCATATAAATTATTTTCGTAATTTTCATCAACTAATGATGAATGTAGGTCTTCTTCATTCTAAAAGACAAATAAATAATCCAGAGATTTTACATTGGATTAGCTCATTTATAACTAATTATTTACAATAGGTTCAACAGGTGGAATCAGCGAAGATAATTCAGCTGGATAAGGTCTAATTTTGCGATTAGCACGCCACCGTCGTTGTCTCAGTGTATGTGGTGCTGGTTCTGAAAAAATGTAATACGTAAGTTGAAAATAAAGAATATTTCATGAACTTATAGATACTACCTAAATTACCAGCAACATTGGCAAATATCGACTGAAAAAAATTGTCCGAATTTTCTTGATCCATCCTTCATAAGAAAATTCTATAAAAAAGAAAAACAAATTAGCCAACACGTTATGAATGATGATATATATATTCATTTATCACATTTGAATAAAGATAATGATGAATATCATTCTTTTAAATATCTTTCTTATAAATATCATTCTTTGAAAGATCATTCTTTTAAATTGCATAGCTTTTTTATATTACCAATCGTAAAACAATAATCAAAAGATGTCGTGCACATACCGTTGACTTCTTACAGTTACTTACTTTATGTGTATGACCTTCGACGCGTCTGCTCACAATTACAAATGATTTAAATAACGATCTAACCGTCTATATTTATAAGGTTATATATGCACAAAAATATCACATGGACTTTTCATTGAAGATATAATAAGAATCTTTGAAAAGAAAAGAAAAGAAACTTGGCTGAATTTCAAGAAAATTTAAATATCTTGTGATTCTTTTCAGATTCTTATTTTTCTGGTTACTCAGACCAGATTCTTTTCATCTTGAACTTCAGACAAGATTCTTTGCAACAGGAAAGAAACAAGATTCTTGACTGAATTTTAAAAAATCTTGAATATCTTGTCATTCTTGCCTGGTTCTTATTTTTCAGATGAATCAGGCAAGTTTCTGTTTTTCTTGAATAAAAGGCAAGAATCTTGTTTCTTTCCTCTCGAGAAGAATCTTGCCTGAATATTATGATTACGAAGAATCTTGTCTGATATTCAAGAAAAACAAGAATCTGGACAGAACGAAGACAAGATCGTCGACTAGTGTGGCAGACATAGTCATTAATGTCTTTATGATGAAATTTAATTTGAAATCTATTATAATATGTATGATCATGTTCACAGCTTAAATTTCTATGACCATCACATGAAGATCATCTTCAGTGATTTCATAAATTCTATAAGCATGGAAAACAGGAGCCATTCTTTGTTTTTAAATTTCATTAAAACTATTCATTTTTGGTAATAGGAGATTATGGTTTTGCGATGAGTCTTATCATGAAGTACACAACTGTACCATAATAGTTCTAAGGCAAGATTCGAATATCCAATAATCCTACAAATCAGCTGAATGACGATATGTTGATTAGTATGTGCGGTTTATTGACTATAATATGTTTTCGAGTATACAAATATAAACTAGTGGCATCTATTATTNAATTGAGGTTATCCAGTATTGATTTAAGCATTTTAGCATGTAGGTAATAGTTGTACTATACGTTTACCTGTTTCCCACAGTTGACTTTGCTGTCAATTATATTCGAATTATAAACTTATAACTCGAAAAACTTTTAGTTCTCCGTTCGCTCGTAAATTAGCATGGATTTCTTTTTTTCTAGGTTTCGAAACAATGTGTAGTAGATGATCATTTATTCATATTGAAATCAAATAGAACAGCTCATTTAAATTTAAAGTGATGCTTTTTCATTCGATGGAATAGTTCTAGTATCACAGGGAACACTTCTAACAGCCAGATGATACTGCCAGTATCATGTAGGAACGCTTGTTGCATCTCAGGTGATATTTCCAGAAAAGCAACTTTAGGAAAGTGTTATCTCATTTATGAAGTTATAATTCAAAAACATTATTTCTAACAGTCAGAAGTACTGGTATGATTTGTTTTCGAATTTATCTTCGACACTACGAAGCTCATTTCTATTTCTATTATAATTAGACAACTTATGTAACAATTAGATTCTTTGCTAACTTTAGAGGAATTCACGTACATGAGTACGTTGACGGTATATATAAAAAAAACCATACTTTCTAACATTTAGTTGCTGTTTTTAATTGAGATATGATTGTTAGCATCAGAATACTTATTTCCACTAGGATCTTAACGCTCGAAAGGACAGGAAAAAATAGATCACCAAATCAAAACAGCATTTTGAACTTAATGATTACAAGTCTTATTGATATTTAGCTAGACTATGTTAATGTTACCCAGGAAAATAAACTTTTAAAATTCAAATTTTATTTCTCCTGAAGAAATTAATCTAAATTGACGTCGCAAGAAATATTTTATTTGATATTTTAACTTCAGAGAATAAAAATGCGCTGTAATTATTAAAAACAAATTTTGTTAACTGATCGAGAATTGAAAAAGAAAATAATCACGTGTTTATTTTGTAGGCAGCCAATCGTCAAAACTTTCCGGCCTCGGATTGCGAATTTTCGAAAAAGTAGGAATTCTCATAGGATCAAACATTTTAACAATACAGGAAAAGGCATAGAAAACGAGAAAAATATAGGATGTTGAAAATTCGTTTTTTAGATTCAAATTACATGTTGCCTTAACCTCTTTTTGAATCAAATTAACATGAGTACTAAATTTTTGTCGAGATTTCATTTTGCTTTTTTCTGAAAATAAATGAAATGAGTCACACATAATTAAATGCAATCGAAATATGTTTATTTACATATTAATATATTAATACAAAGCAGTGTGTGCGTGCGGGTAATGGCTCGTATTACCTTTTGACTAACATCCATCTACACGCAAACCGAGTTTTAAACGTTTCAATAACAACATATGAGTTTTTTACCGTTTTTTACCTAAGAATTTTTGGGGTGGGTGTGGGTGTGGGGTGTGGGTGTGAGAAGGCATTCTAAGGGTGGGAACGTGCGCCCCCAACCAGATACAAGAATATGCACACCCACACCCAACTATTCTAAAGTTACCAGGTATCCAATGATTAAATTTAGATTTTAGCTCGAAATTTCTACTGTTTGTTTTGCATATCTAATCTTTGAACTCATGCATTAGATTTATTACATACTTTGCAATGATATACTTTTTGTGTTCAAGTCTCAGTCCATAATTCTATAGTTTTGCTTTCATCTCGGAAATAAAGGTTTGCAATTGAAAATTTGTTCTAAGATTGTTGATAATCTACTTCGCATAATTAAAATAGGATTCACATCTGTATTTTATGAAAAATTCAACTTTGAAATCTCATAAGATCCATGTTCTTGTTTCAAATTAATAATGATAGCGCAAGTGTATGTCTTTAAGAATCTTTGAGAAAAGAAAATAATAATAACCAAAATATCACACATTTGATAGAAATATAAGCTAAAAGACATTTTCAAGAAGATAACAAATCTGAGAAATTCTATGTTATTGGGTAAGATAATTAAACTTTGTATTAAAAAATAATGTTATTACATATCTATTTTCTAAATAAGTATATTGAAAGAATCTATGATTAGAATATAATTTCTTATTACTTATATTTTACAATGGAAAAATGCATTATTACATTATGAATATTTGTGCAGAACAGCACAAGTACTATTCTACAGATCTATTATGATCACTATGCAGTTTTGATTGTAATGTATTCGTTTCCTAGGAAAAAAAGCGATATTTAGTGATGATGTTCAAAACATTTTTAATTAGGTAATGACTTCCTGCTATTCAACATTGATCTGTCTTAATGTATTTCTCATCGTGAATAACATTCTTGTTGCTAACAAAAAAAATTTTCCAGTTGCTACTTCTAGATATGCTTTGATTATTTCGGGGATTAATGGACAAGCAAACAGTATTTTCTAACTGAGACAAACGTTATACCTATACTAAACAAGTTTGATAATGTGGCATCCTACCATTTTCTTTAGTACTGTTCACCTTTCTTTGAAAGATTATTAGAACAGGGTGAAGAAGAGAGAGAGAAAAAATGTCCTTAATTATGTTTTATCACAGCTAATCTTCGCAAAAATACTGTGTACAACATATATGCACGCTTTCCTAACCCACTATAGATTCTATGTATTTTACTGACTTCGTTAGATCTTGTGTGTACAAGCTAAAACATAGTCATTGGTTTTTATCCAAAAAAGAATTCAACCATGAAAACTAAATAACTAAGAATTCAATGTATTCTTCGAAAAATTCGATGGCATTAGAAATCGAAGAAAGAACAAGTGATCGTTTCTATGAGTGATTATAATGCGTCGTTTTCTTGAGTATATTTGCAACCAGCAAGACAATTTTCAACCAATTTAATTATCTATGTATTATTTATAATTTATTGTTAAAGATTTTTACGGCTCTGATGCAGCATGTCAATTATTCAGACATAGTAAGGACCAGCTTTTATTACTGTTATCGTTTAAAATATTTTGAATCGTGAAAAGAAAAGAAACTGGAACTCCATGAAAATTTTCTGTATTGGGAAGCTATTTTTAAGTCAACAACATATTATCTGAAGAATTGGGGAAAGAGGTCTCTCTTGTTTAGTCTTTTGACTGCATTATTACAAACTTTTCTTGTATATGAATAGAAAATATAGCGAAGGACAATTCTATCTAAAAAGTATGACGACGTATTTTAGTACAAATCTCATAGTATATAATTTTTCGTGAAAACTCGATCAACTTCTCAACAAAACAAGCATTATGAGCAATGCATAAGTATTATAATCATTTTCTTCTGTATGAAATAGAGTATAAATGAAAATTCACTTAAAGCGAATATGTCTAACTATTAATGATATAAATCATGCGCTGTATCAGTAAGTTTCACATTCAATAAATTCTGAAAATTCTGCCATTCTACAATGAATTTAAAGTAAAAAAAAGCAATCTTGATTATATTTCCTTGAGATTGACAACAATAAAAAAGACAAGTAAGATATCAAAAATAAAGCTTGTCGACTTTCTCACATTACACATAAAAAGATTAATTCTCATTTCTTGTAATTTCTTGATATCATAAAGATGTACTATGGTCGAAACACTTGTTAAACAGTTTGTCACACATATAATTTCTCATTATGTATAGCTTCCTATTCATATGTATAATAAAATACACTTTCATTCCTAGTCGATATTTGTCTTCATATTGTCCTCGTCAAAATATCTTTGCAGCCACTTAGATAATTTCAACAAATGCATAGTTATTTTAAAGATCCTTTAAAGGTGTACACAGTGTGCAAAGATGTTTTTTATACAATACATATAAAAGTACCAAAGCAAAGAGAAAAACAAAGCGTGACT